AAAAAGATTAAATAAGCAAGAAGCAGAGACTCAATCCTTACTCTGCGAGGATCGTGCATCATACGTATCTATAACCGCAGTTCAAAATATATGAACTTCATATATTCATCGTATCTGATTTATCATCACGGGTTTATTACGAATCAACTTAACGGCCTGCTCCCAGTTGGCTTGTTAGCTCAATTGGTAGAGCGCTGCACTAGTATCGCAGAGGTCAGTGGTTCGAATCCCGTACAGGCCTGATTTTTTTCAGGTCTGATTTTCGCTATTGCATAAATAGCGCTCTCTACTGCGAGGATCGTGCATCATACGTATCTATAACCGCAGTTCAAAATATATGAACTTCATATATTCATCGTATCTGATTTATCATCACGGGTTTATTACGAATCAACTTAACGGCCTGCTCCCAGTTGGCTTGTTAGCTCAATTGGTAGAGCGCTGCACTAGTATCGCAGAGGTCAGTGGTTCGAATCCCGTACAGGCCTGATTTTTTTCAGGTCTGATTTTCGCTATTGCATAAATAGCGCTCTCTACTGCGAGGATCGTGCATCATACGTATCTATAACCGCAGTTCAAAATATATGAACTTCATATATTCATCGTATCTGATTTATCATCACGGGTTTATTACGAATCAACTTAACGGCCTGCTCCCAGTTGGCTTGTTAGCTCAATTGGTAGAGCGCTGCACTAGTATCGCAGAGGTCAGTGGTTCGAATCCCGTACAGGCCTGATTTTTTTCAGGTCTGATTTTCGCTATTGCATAAATAGCGCTCTCTACTGCGAGGATCGTGCATCATACGTATCTATAACCGCAGTTCAAAATATATGAACTTCATATATTCATCGTATCTGATTTATCATCACGGGTTTATTACGAATCAACTTAACGGCCTGCTCCCAGTTGGCTTGTTAGCTCAATTGGTAGAGCGCTGCACTAGTATCGCAGAGGTCAGTGGTTCGAATCCCGTACAGGCCTGATTTTTTTCAGGTCTGATTTTCGCTTTTGCATAAGTAGCGCTCTCTACTGTGAGGATCGTGCATCATACGAATCATTCGATAATTAGTTCTGAAGTGATTGTTTAATTAATATGAATCAGGTGCTGAGACGGGTTTATTTTCCGTCTCTTGCTTGATGAATCAAGAAATTATTTTATTTGAGCATTATAAACTTGGTAACACGATTCACCTTTATTTTTTCTCTTTCCTTTGCTTGTTTGTTGTTGTTTTTTTTTTTTAGATCGATGGCGCCTCTGGTCATTCCTATACGTTTACTGAACTAAAAACTCTCACTAGAAAACTCGCTTCATCTCTGATCAAGAGAGGCTTCCAAAAAGGAGATGTTCTAGCGATATACCTTCCAAACGTTCCAGAATACCCCATCATTTACCATGGAGTTGCTTACACCGGCGGCATGGTAACCACAGTCAACCCACTTTACACTGCTGAAGAACTTGAGAGACAACTTCAGGACACCCAGGCTATTTATCTCGTCACCAGTCCTTCATTTCTCAACAAGGCCAAAGAGGCGAGCGAAGCGCAAGGTAAAATAAAAAAGATCTTTGTCGTTGGTGGAGAAGATTCTGACGGCTGCGAAGCGTTTTCTCATCTGCTTGAAGACGATGGCTCCAGTTTTCCGAATGAGTGCATGGTGGACAAAGTTGATGTAGTCACCATGCCGTATTCAAGCGGTACCACAGGACTACCAAAGGGAGTTATGATTACCCATCACGGTATGATCGCAGACGCGTACATCCTTGAAGCAGCCAAAGTCTTCGTAGTCGACAAGAACTCTGTTGTCATGACGATTCTTCCGTTTTCTCACATGTTTAGCCAGCTTTGGATGATGGGCATAGCCTTACATCAAGGCGGCAAACTTGTCGTTCTGCAAAGATTTGAGCACGAACCATTCTTAAAGGCGATGCAAGATCAGAGGGTAGGTTGGGCAGTTATTTTTTTTCCCTGTATTCTTTAGATGCAAGAGCGTTATAAGCGACATTCACCTTCTGATAGTACAAGTACAGTTTACATGATGCAGATAAGGAGCCTGTTGCACGTTGTGAGCCAAGTTTACGTCAGGGGGAATCCCTCCAGAACTTTCGAAGGAATATATCATTGGATATGACCTTAGAGCCATTGGATATGACCTTAGAGCCATTCGTCTCCGAAAAAGGTTTAAATTGTGACCAATACCGTCTTAAAACGGAAATAGTTTTCGAGGGGACCACGAGAGAGAGAGAGTGAGAAAGAGAAAGAGAGATAACCATTACAATAATGTTACCTTAATTTGGACAATGCCATGGCAACTTTCAGAAACCTTGACTTGAAACAGTTATGGGAACGGCATGTTTGGGTCTGAATTTGACTATTCAGACAATACAGGCATAACAAGGATTCTGAGGAGGGCAAAACCCCGGAACTATCTATTCTACCTCCCAACGACTTTCTTATAGCTGATAATAGTCGAAACATGTAATCTCGATCTGCGGCAAAGAACACATGTGCCAGATAAAGGTATATTTCCGATTGTCGTCAGCTAGCTAAGGCGATAAGAACTTCTTTGTTCTTCAACACTGTGTAGGTCACAATTGCTCCAGTGGCTCCTTCCATAGTACTTTTCCTGGCCAAACATCCCCTGGTTGACGAATTTGACTTAACAAGCGTTGAAGATGTGATATGCGGAGTAGCACCAATGGGTAAAGGACTTGAAGAAGCTCTCATCAAACGAATGCCGAAATTAAAACACGTCCGACAAGGTATTATAATCCCGCCTGCCAGAATACGAGAACTGAACGTTTCCTCTCTTGGTCGATTGCTTACAGGCTCATTTACTTCCGTGAGAGATTCCTTCCCCAGCCCCTCTCCCCCCGCATTTTGTCGGATTTCCCTGATTGTTCACCGAACGGTTTGCCAGTACCCATTTTCACACTGGGTGGAGAGGGGATCAATTGTCGTTCCTAAGAACACAACACATTGAGCCCGTCAGGGCCCGACCCAGGTAAAGCGCTCTATGTATCAGACCAGTCTCCTACAACCGAAAAAAAACTGGTTCACTATGTGGTAAAGTAAAAGAAAAGTTAGAGGTTTTTCCAAATTTCGATTTGCGTATTTCTGTGTGAAAATTAAACTTGAATGTTTGATTTTCACGTTCGGCTCAATAGAAGACAGATAGCTGCAAAAGGGTGTGCAAAATACAAAATACAAATATCTAAATTGTGAAAGTTCAGGCTGGTTTGAGCTGGTTGAAATGAGATAAAAGCAAGACAAGATTATGGATTTTTGAACTGTCGCCTTTGAAAATCTATTTCAGCTTACTTACCCGATTCCAATCTGTGAGTTTAAGGGTAGACACTCTGAAACACCTTGAAACTTGTGACTCGCCAGACAGCTTGTAACTGCGTGACTTTGATCTCCACTCCCAGGGTTTGGCATGACAGAAGTGCTTGCCACGCATATGCAGCCCGTGGGAGAAATAAAGCCGGGAAGAGTTGGTGTCCTTCTGCCTAATTTGGAATGTAAGGTAATACAACAAATAACTCATTTGACATCTCTCGGTAAATGGGAGAGAGATGATTAACCTCCTTTCAGGCAATAGGGTGTTCATCACTCAAAGAGTGGCCTGCTGTCATTAGCAATGCAGTAAGAGCGTCAAAGCTCGTGAAAAGTCTGCGAGGAATCTGGCACTAGTTACTAAAACCCTACCCAGACCTCTTGTGGGCTTTGCCGCTCAAGCAACAGCGTGAATAGGACTTTGCTCACAGGGTTTGAAACAGCACCTCTTAATAACTGTTTACAGTCGTTGGAAAAGTTCTCTACTTACAGATTGTTGATACAACCACCGGCGCTGTTCTTGGTCCAGGTCAGGACGGCGAAATGTGTATCAGAGGACCAACAATTATGAAAGGTAGTATCTGCGCCAGCTTTCTTTACGTATCCGTGCTTTGACAGGGGTGGAAGGGGGGTAGGAGAGGGACAAATATCTTTTGCACGACAAAGTTTCATTCGTGCACAATCACCGAAAACTAGCTGCAAACTGTTGTATTTTGATCTCGAAAGTGAATTCACTTAATTAAACGTGCGTTATTAAGCTCTGTATACTCTCACTAAAAATAACCGATCAGTTTCATGAAGTTTGTCGCTGGCTGTGTCCTAATCTAAGTAAAAATTGATCTTGACAAATGACTAAGTTTACCGATTCAATAACGAGACTTGACGAGATTTTAGCGATCATAAACGACTACGCCCGAAACCCCAACGAAAGTCTCTCCCTCGGCAAACTGGTAAAACTTCCTTCAGGGAAAAATCGTTCTTTGTAGCGCGTCTTCGCTGTTTGTGCCCAAGCGGGCGCCGTCCCCCGGTCTGACGTGAGGGCTAATGCCGACGTAAATTTTTATCAACCATTCGTTTAATATCTAGAATGAAAACTTCTCGCAGGTTACCTGAATAATCCTGAAGCTACCGCTCGAATGGTAGATGAAGACGGATGGGCGCACACGGGTGATATTGGACATTATGACGAAGATGGGCATTTCTTTATCGTGGACAGATTGAAAGAACTTATCAAGTACAACGCATTTCAGGTAAGGTTTTATCCCTAAACCACTTTGTAAACTTTTCGTTACCCTGCCACCTCGCTCAAGGTTCAACTCCTAAAGCGGAGAAGAGTTTGGGTTTAATCACGAACGTAAAGCGGGAGGGACTATGGAAAGAAGGAGTACAGAAAAACCCCTTTTAAATTCCCTTCATTCCTTGCGCGCAAAGTTTTAGATGAGAAACGTCTGGGTATGAGTGAAGATGTGTAGAATTTTGGTTAGCAGAAATGGCGGAGAGTCGCTCTTTTTCAGCTAAAAAAAACGCAAAAGTTAGAGTTTAAATAAAATCGTATTGGTCACTTGATCGTTAAACTAAAATCTCTCTTGGCAGAATTTTACAATGAAGACCAACAAGTTAATGTATTTTATTTCAGTTATCAATAGTATTAATTCTATACAATGAAATATATGAAGTTCATATATTTTGAACTGCGGTATTAGATACGTATGATGCACGATCCTCGCAGTAGATAGCGCTATTTAAGCAATAGCGAAAATCAGACCTGAAAAAAATCAGGCCTGTACGGGATTCGAACCACTCACCTCTGCGATACTAGTGCAGCGCTGCTCCCAGTTGGCTTGTTAGCTCAATTGGTAGAGCGCTGCACTAGTATCGCAGAGGTCAGTGGTTCGAATCCCGTACAGGCCTGATTTTTTTCAGGTCTGATTTTCGCTATTGCTTAAATAGCGCTATCTACTGCGAGGATCGTGCATCATAAGTATTAGTTCTATGTTAAGGTCGCCCCAGCGGAACTCGAAGCGTTGCTGATTTTACATCCGAAAATCGACGACGCAGCCGTTATCGGTATTCCAGACGAGAAGTCAGGAGAGCTGCCGAAGGCCTTTGTTGTTCCCAAGGGAGACATTACTCCTGAAGAAATCGCCGAGTATATCGCACAAAGGGTGGCCCCTCAAAAAAAATTAAGAGGCGGAGTGGAATTTATCGACAAGATTCCCAAGTCCGCAAGTGGCAAGATTTTACGAAAGGATTTAAGAAAGAGAGAATAGGAAAGGTAAAATAAATCGTAATCGCTTTCTTTAAACAGTTTCGGGAGTTTTACCAACTCTTGTGAGTCTTTTACTTCCAATGCGACTACCGCGGGAAACGTTTATATGCGCGTTTTATGAGCAAGTATGAATTTCGTATTTCTGTGGGATCAGCAGTTGCTCCAACACTTACCTTGCCAGGTGAACAATGTAAATCCCGGGTTTGGAGACAAAAGAAGTTAAGTTAAAGGCTGAAATAAACCCAAATAATTTGCAAGTTGATAATTGTTAACATCTGACAAAGTGTAAAGCTTCAAACTTAATTGACGGAAATAAAAGAAGTTTTCGAACGATGATCATTAAAAATCTGGTTCGCTCGAACCTGACAGCAATCAAGGCAATTGAGCATTATCATTGGTGATCTTACAATACCTTTGTTCAACACCTAGTCGTGCGAAACTTTTACATACACCAACAAAGGCTTCATTTGTCTAAAAGACAGATTTCATGTAGAGATGTTTAGGAAATAACTGATATACTACAAAGCCCTTGATTGGTCTAAAATCTATCGTTTATTGCAGCGGTAAAACCATAGCTATTTTTTTTCAGAGGCAATAGACGGCACTTTCTATCTGTTTAGCTGCACTATAACCCACTTGGAATGTTGGGCGAACCTGAGCGAAGTTTGTAAATTATTCGTCTCCGGAAGGTGATGTACAAATTGTTCTTGTGTTCTCCTAGCATCACGCGTGGGTGATTGCGAAGGTAAACCGATGAAAAGTGCGGTCTATTTCTCAGTAAATTTCTAGAATTAAATTACTATGCTATAATTTTCTTTTTTTAAGGATTACCAATGTCGTATTAACAGAGCTAGTGGTCATGGCAAATTCAATTATGTACAGTTTCTTGCGTTTTAAAAGCATTGGCAAATATTTGTGGTAAATTTCAAGGATTCTTTTCCACTAGTTTCTTTTTCGGAAAAAAAAAGAAGAAAAGAGTTTTGGCGAATTGCTCTCAAAATGCGTGAAATTTCTCTGATTTCAACTCTGCCCTCGCCTTAGACCATGACAACTACCTGCTACAAGGAAGTCAAGGACACAACTCGCCTTTCTTCAACCGAATTACCTGAATTACGTTTGAAGAAAGCTTGTGTTCAAACTCCGACAGCCCATACTAATCATACGTGCGTTGTTGGGAAAATGTTCTGAATATTGGTTATAACTTGGCGTGGAAGTGGAAAAACAGCACTTTATTATCATCGTTAATCGTTTGTTAACTTTCTCTCTTCAGAAAACACTTCAGCCACCTGTAGCTGGGATGTTAAACGGGTGAAAACAAACACAAAATGGCAAGAATTGGACAAATTCCTGGAATTCTCAAACGCGATACTTAACCGCTCTGTAAGAGCGAACCATACTTTTTACAAGAAATCCAAAAGGAAGAAAACTATACCATCATATTAAAGGAAATGTGAACTCATCTGAAATGTGAATTCTAGAAAGTCGCAGAAGCTATGGAGGGTAACTGGCATCCGAACGCCACATGTTCTAAAACTCGTTGCTTCAGTTCACTTACTTGCTGGCGTAACGCATTAGCGACCGCGTTAAGTTCAATATTTTTATCTTTTAATTGCTGTACCCTAACTTCAAGCTGTGCTTCTCTCTCAAGTTTCTTTTTCCTGCATTTTGACGCAGCCACCCTATTTTTCTGCTTCTTTCGCTCGCGTTTCACAATTTCTTGAAGTTCTAAATCTATTGGCGGTAGCGGAAGTACACTGCCTGCTTGCGGTTTCAAAGTGTCCTCAGCGTATTCAAAATTTTCTGCTTCTGCCACAACCGGGGCCGTAAAAGCCGTCGGGTAAAGTTCATGATGTTCATACGTTGTCACCCCGGCGTAAGGGGGATTTCTGATATCGTACGATGTCTCATTAACGGCTATTTGCGTGTGAAAGTTGTTAACTGTGTTTTCAGGCTCTGCCCAAGTGTTTTTGGTACCTGAACTAACGGGTGTCGTATTTTGCTTGTTGAGATGATCAACCTGTTGCTGCTGCCGATCGTGAATTTGTTGTAGAGCCTCGGCAAATCCTTGGACATAAGCTTCGTGCTGTTGCTTAACGCTATGGTTCCCCTCTCGCGTATTTTTAGCCTGCGTTGGCGACTTCGGATTCTGGACACTGGCGAGAATCTTTTCAAACTCTGGTGAAATCAGATTAAATAAAGTAAATTCTGGTGAATTAATTCCTCCAGGGTTTCCTTTGGGCGTCAGCCCAGTATTACTCGCAATAAACTTTTCCAGTTCAGGAGAGACCATTTTAAACAAAGATAATTCAGGCGAGTTCTCGTAAATTCCTAGCTTTCCGTTGCCTCGATATTCCTGTACCACTGACGGATGATGCCCTTCGAGATTCAACCTCAGGGCGTTCTTGTCATAACGCGAAAACCCGTTCACTGGTAATGCGCTTTGCTCGTAAAACAGCACATCCATGTTTTCACAGCTTCCTCCAACGTGCTCGCCCATTCTGGAAATTCTTTGGCCGTGTCTTTATGTCTTAGTTAATCGGAAATAAACGTAACTCGTTCTACTGAAGCCGCTATGGTCACCCATCCTGTCATTTTTCTGGAATTAAATCACTCTTCCGACCAAAACATTACGTCACTTAGCAAGCCGCTTATTGGCTGGTGAAATTTTCGCGCCAAAAAATACACTGTTCTCAACGGTTGCCAGAAATTGTCAAAATAGAGATCTTTCCTTGATTTTTTTATTCAATTTTTTTTTCCGACACAAAAACTACGCCATTTTGCGATCCCACTATAACATAATTTTTCTTTACTGTCCAAATAAAAGGCTTTTATATCACTTTGGAAGAATTGTAACGCACTTTTTGTGATCACGATCTTTGGTCAATGACCACAAACTAACATACAGATTGTCCTTCATTGGCCACCCGCACGCCACCCGTTGAAAACTCATCCAAACCTGGGATTTAACGCGATGCGGGTATTAGCCCGGGAAATAACAAGTTCTATTGCTAGTTTCACTCCAGTGTATTATGGAATACACTTAAGAGAAGAAAACAAACGGAGACCTGCTGTTTACCGTAAAATTAATTTGAAAATTTGCGTCAATAGAAAATACGAAGTTGTTTTGGATAATAAATTTTATTTGAATATCCAATTTTTTGATCAGGTTTTGAAAATGTCACGAGTTCGGGGGAGGAAATTCTGCTCCTAACGGCTCCCATCGTTTCAGATAAAGGGCACAAGATATCGAACAAATACAAGAAAAAAACTAAACATTCCTTCAAGAAAAATTGACATATTTATCAAATAAATGTCATTTCATTTATTTCGTGTTTTACCTAATTATTTCCATTTCAGTGACAGTTAATTTTCTGATACCTTTGATGATGATAAAAGGTACAAAGAATTTTCAAGTGCGTTTCACATTTAGAACAATTACTAAAACGCAATTTTATTTTTTACACCGGCCACAAACAACTTACAATTAATTTGTAGACTCCCTACGATTTTAACAAACAACGATTGGAAAGTCTCAAAGCCATTTTTACCTTATTTGGTTTTTAAACAAGTATTAGCCGCGGGATGACGGATTTCACAATTTCCTCTTCAAGAAATGATCAAGATGCAACTTCACTTTTTAGTGCGCTAAGAATAGAAAAAGTCAACCACTGGAGGTGTGTTTTCAAGATATATTACCAGGTTTACTTAACTTATTCACAGGGTCTGGTTTGGTAGATAGAAGAGACAATCGGTTGTGGAAACTTAAGAGTTATCGCGTGAGGGCTTGGACTGGTTTGTTGCCAAGCAACGAACAGAACTCGTGACACGTGATGAGTCTAGCTAATGTGGATCTGCCAGTCTGAGATCTTGGAAAAACAATTATCTCCAGAGAAGAATTGAAGCAAACACACTTCAGCTTGCATGTGAGAGGCCGATAAGCCGTTTTTTGAACCAGAGCCAGATCCAACGATTTTTTTTAATGGGGGGAAGGGGGGGGGGAGTTGTTCCAAATCTGATTCAGAAAAAAATAGAATTTGTTTTAACGATATAGTTTAAATAATCGACGAAATCTTGCGAAACAAGTAAAAGTGCTTATTTATGCTTATTGCATACTTTATATGGCGGAAGTAATATGCGATCCTGTTGTTGCGAGAATTTTGATGCAGACAGGAGCTCAAAGGTCTGACGAGAGAGGGGGTGAGGGGTGAGGGGATTCCGGACCCCTTAAGCCTCCCCGTGAATCAGCAAGGATACATAAGAAACGCAGCAAGTGGTGTCGTTACTTCTTATCTCGGAAGTTAACTTAAAACATTCTTGTTGAGGCCGTCCCGTGCGTTGTCCCTCACCCATATCATGTTGCGTTTTGTTTGTTAAACCTGCCAGGTCACGTGCCTCAATTCTCACCACAATTTCGCAGGAATTCCTAGAACACTGTTACGAGAAGTCCAAAACAGGTCCCTGCTCGCTGGTTCCCGTAACTGAGCCAGCGCAGTTATCGCACAGCGGATTCCAAATGACAACAAATATGAGTCAATGTTATGTTGATTTTGATTTTGACATGACTTGGAATGGCTCATGGATGATGTTAAAGATATTTTGCAGGGAACCACTGAGCTGCACAACTCTTTGGAATTTGTAGACATAAACTGCTAATAATTTATCTTCAATGGCTACCATCAAACGACATGTACTCTAACAGATGGCGAATATGTCCATGACCTCTTTAAACTATGTATTTCTCCTTTCAGAATCGTGTCTGTGTTTTCAGAATTGCAAGTTCTTTCAGGTGACTTTGACCCTGTTCCCTGTGGAGAAGGTGCGGCTTGTTGCGATGCAGTCTCAGTACAAGAAATAGAGAGCTTGAATTGTCCCTCATACAAAAACATCAGCGAACACGAGTGGCAGAAGGACTTCCCGGGCAGTACCTTAGGGAGGAATAAACATTTTGGTGTCTCCGACAAGCTATGATCTAGCAATATTAATCAGGTGTCCGTGTAGTACTGGGTTTATTCTAAAGCGCAGTCATGCGGGAATTGTACAATTTTGAGAAGAGATGCCGCATAAGACTAATGACTAAGCATCAGATGGGAGTGCAACAAATTGTGCCCAAGGATAAGTACTATTTTAAAGTTGCATGCCTTTTAAAGGAATTCGAAAACATAATTGCCAACAAGATTGACACTGGGCTCCTGGGTAGACGTGATCTCAGTTCATTGAGATGTTAAAGGACACAAATTTTTATGCGTCGCAGAAGAGGGAGCGCAGGGGAGAGGGAGCGCGGGGGAGAGGGAGCGCGGGGGAGAGGGAGCGCGGGGGAGAGGGAGCGCGGGGGAGAGGGAGCGCGGGGGAGAGAAGATTCGCGGGAGAAAAGAGATTCTGAACCTGATGTTTCGAGCGTTAGCCTTTCGTCACAGCAAATCCAAACGGTTATCTTTCGAAACGTCCACTTAAGTATCCCTTTACGGAAGCCAATTCACATCATCAACTCAGCTGATAAAACCAAACTACGTTGAGATGTTAGTTGGGCGTGATCAGATTTATGTCAAGACGCTTAACGATAACCATTCTTTCAATCGCTTATCGGTTTCTGCGTGGAATGAATTAGAAGTGACATTGGGAGGAGATGGCTGTTACTGGGAGGTGTACACTAAAAAGGCAAAGCTATTACAATTTGTTTTTGTTATCCTGTTTCCCTTCCCTGCCCACCCCACATAAACAAACACAGCACACACGTTACCACATGATAGAAATTATACCTCAGGAGTATGTACTTGTAAAGTTCCTACCCAGGCCACCTTTCCATCCAGCTCAGTCACTGGACAACCCGAGGCCTGGTCCTGGTAAGGTTCGATGGTCAACACTAGAGGCCCATGAGGTTCATCTGATATGAAAAAATAGATGAAATTATAAGTTACTTGTTTCTCCATTGTATACATGGTGTTCTCAATAAGCCATGACGGAGGAATTATCATCTGGCTTTTGTCCAATAACACTCCATCGCAGTGTCTCTGGATTGCAACCTTAACAGCAAACATGCGCAAGAGGCACAGTATAGTCACCGGGCCAAAAAAGGTAAAGCTATGCGACTATACGGAAGTGACAGAGGGGTGTCCTGTGGTGAGCACACTGGATTCTAACCCGAGAGGCCTGGGTTCGAGATCTGGCAGAGTGATTGTGTCGAGTTCATGAGACAAGACACTTACTTTCACAAAGGTTATCTCCAACCAGGAGAGTGAGGTGTCGAGGCACTGAGGGAAAACCGTGATGGAAAAAATGGAACATCATTCATGAAGAGTAAAACTTCTATTAATCACTTCAAACTCGCGCTTGCAGGGCTCGAAATTGAAGGTAACCCGTTAGTGGTTAGAATTTTCAACGTTTGGTTACTAAAAATCTGTCCAACTAACCCGACATGGTTAGTAAAATTTTCTAACCTATTACACCATTGGTGGACTTCGGGACAAAGAGCACGTAGACCTGACTCTCAGAGGAATACTGAGAATGCTCAAGTTGTTAAATCAACTTAAAACTCTTTTCAGAGAATGTGCTGTAGATGTACTGTTCTTGACTAATCATGGTAAACGAGAGGGAAATACAATAGGTGCATAATTGTCAACGTTTTTAAGCTCATCATGCAATTTGAGCTACTCTTTAATTTGTCCTAGTCGTTATTATCAAAATGTTTAATATTTGAGATATAGTAACTTGTCAGCTTGGATACCAAACTTTATAATTTGGTTAGTAAAAAAGATGTCTACTAACCCGAAGGGTTAGTGATCCAAAAATTAAATTCGAGCCCTGGCTTGTCGTCAATCCTTTACCATACTTATTATCTTTGAACCGAATGAGTGTAATAAGAAGGTAACCACTTGATAAGGTTTTTTCGTAGAATACGTTTAACTTTAAGTCGGGCCCATTTTTCTCATTATTCTTTACACATCTTGGCGTACCTTGTTTGACAACAATAAGTCACGCAATTCGCACAAAACCTAAAATCAAGTTATAACTTACCACTTTCATTAAACACTTGAACATTGAGCTCCGCAATCGAGCACAGTGAGATTGTGATTCCACTTGAAGTGGCGTTGTCGTATTCCTCTCCATTGATCTTAACACCTTTGAATAAGAAACTTTGGGTCCAATCATATTCTTATTCATAATATCAAGAAAGTGCCATGACTTAAGCGCTAAGAAACGACCAATCGAACAATATCGTAGCTAAACTGCCTATAAAGAGATAATCACGGAGCAAGTGATGGAGTCCATGCAGAGAAAGTTTTCATTTGCGCTTATTCGTGAGCGAGTACCTCGCAAAATATATATGTATCTACATCTTGACGGTCTCGAACACTTGCGGAATCACGTAGCCTCTACGCACGTGTATTTAGCACACATCACAGTCAAGTGAATTGAAATGTTGCGCATCTAGGCTCAATTAGACTAGCCTTGAAAACGAATAAGAAATTTAGCCAACATAATAAATAAACAACGACTCCATACACACGTCAATTCAATACGAGGAAATAAGAAATGTTACGACACTTAAGGAAAAATAAATCACCAAAAGAAACGAGCGTTTCTTTCATCAATCTATTCTACGTCGTTGTAACCATTAAGATATAACATTTATCGGTAACTCACCAAATGAGACTGGATCTGGTCTCAACGCCTGCATCATACTCGAGTTCAGTTTCAGATTCTCGACATTACCACTGCCAGAAGCGTTACATGCCGGCTGTGACACAATCAAGGATGACACAACAATATGGGTAATGCCTGCAGATTGAATCGATGAGGGAAAAAAAGGGCCTGACAGCCATAGAAATTAATTTGTTAATGTTTAGTCACAAGGTTTTTATAAAAATGTTTGAATATGAAATTCAATTATTCTTTCAGACTCGAGTGAAAGTAATAAGTGCTCAGTCGTGACCTACAACCTATGTAGTGAAAAGTGGTTGAAAAAGGTTTGCCCTTAAATTAAAACTTCCCCGATCTCGCTTTAAAATATGTTTGCCCTTTGAAAGTAATCTGCGTGAAATTCAACTAACTAACTAACAAAATCTCATCTAATAACGATCACTTTTTCTAGGACTCTTTTTTAGCTTACTTTCCATTTCAGTTTCTTCAGGTACTGAGAGAAAAATTCAGAAATTCTTACCGACACGAAGTTTGCTCATAAAAATCGCTGTATAACTATTCACACTAATAGATGACCATGATCATTTCAAACTTCCCTGCAAATTGGTGCCGGGCCCAAAAGCCCCCTTTACGAAAAGGATACAAGATTCCAACTAATCCTAACCAATTCACAGACTCTTCTTTTGTATTCAGCGCGTCTCTGGGAGTCAGTGTCCACCTAAAAAAGCACGACCATGAAAACGTTTGGAAAATTGTACAATACTTTCAAGCAGTAGCCCTCAATTTCTATTGGTTTAGCCGGACGGAAGCAAGTGATTTCGAACCTTTTCTCGTGATCTCCCAGCATCCCTAGCGGGTAATAAAGCTGGTAAACCAATAGAAATAAACTTAAAACAAAACACGGTATTTTCTATGGGTTTACCAGTGCAATAAACAATGGGTTTTGACCAATTAGGGCGCGCATAGTGTCTCAGTTATTTTATAAAACATTCTTAGTTCCTGCTTCATAGTATACCAATGGTGGATTTCGGAATGGGGCGTAAGAAAAAATAAAAACTTCCAGGACAGTGAAAAATACTTACCCCTTGGCTATGGTCAATAGACACTGGTAAAGCAAATCTTGGCAAATTCATAGTTATCCTTGAGTAAGGAAATGAAAACATCGTAAATATCGTACACTGATTTCGAGATAGTAATAACAACATGTAGAAAAAAAAATAGCTTACTACCTATTTTTGTCATTTCCTTGAATATTCATGGAACCATCCGCAGTCAACTCTCCTTCTACTACAAAAATCAAAGGAAAATAATCAAAATTAAGCAAAACATTACAGTTGTAAAATGCGAGACAGAGGAAAATTCAAACGCTTACCAGAATTAGATTCATTACAATTGCCCACACAGAAGGACAGTTCCATGTCATTGGAAGTCTTGTTTACAGCGTCAAACATCAGTAAACAATGAGATCGATCACTGATGGAAAGAGGGAAAGAAGAGACAGTTAGTTTAAACTTGTTAGAGTCATTACTCACAACTTTCAACGTCGCTTGACGGTAGGGTATTTCCTCGAGTATTTTAGTCAATCAGTGAGAAGCTGTTGTCTACGTTGTCACGTCAAGTTTCAACAGAATGTTCCGTAATGAGCTTTAGATGCCAGACACAAAGATGTGGAAAACTGTCGTTGTAAAGGCAGGTTTGAGAAAACCTTTGTGTTAGGTAGCAAGATAGAAAACGGTGTAGCTTTTCCCTGCCTTCGTGAGCGATCATTGTCACGCAAAGTTAGCACAAAACTCTTGGTGATCCAAATTGTCATGCATTCTACCTGGGGAGCTCTATAATCTGATAGTTTTCGCAGATCAAGCTGGGCACAACTGTCACGTCTATGGCCATGGTGACCTTGCGTGACATGTGATTATTAGAAGCTGTCGAGTAACGGAACTGAATGGAACCGGTCAAACCCCATGGTGCCGCCGGGTCGTAACTGGGATTGTCGCTGCTCTCAGTGCCTTGTGGGAGGCGATGAGCGCCAGTTATTGTAACTGTGATGTCGGTGGAGTGGCCGGGAGGGACTGGGAGCTTGGATTTGATTTCTTCCTCATCAAAACTGAAGAGTTCATCGACTCCTAAGTAGAAGAAAAATCCTATTTAGTTAATTCGTCATTAATCCTTTTCCGTTGGACCCAGTATCTCCGTACGGATAAACGGACGCATGTTGTGACCAATTTTCTCAGCTCAAAGGCGGACCATATTTGTTTCATATGGATACCATGCTTGTCGCTAAGCTCCGCTTTGAAAAACCTGTAGCGAGGCAGCAGCACAATAGCTTAATTAAGCGAATTCGAGATCTCACCGGAGTCGCTATTTCATGTTTGGGGATGAAATATTTCTCTCATACAGACAAGCAGCTGTTTGGGAAACAGTCACTTCAAGGGAGCGAAGATAAACAAGCGTGAGTGGTTAGAAGCCACGCAGGCTTGCCTGTGAGTAATCCTTGTCGCCTTATAAAGCGGAGATGTTCTGGAGCGCAAGATTAGTGGATAGACACCACTCTTCTTCACACCATAACTGTTTATTTCAGAGAACAACAGAAACTTCACACCTTCATGGAGTCTGCACTAATGATGATCAACCTTCCTCCCTTGCTATCCAGGGTAAAGCAGGTTAATTCCTTACCTTCGCCATCCTTGCTGGTAACAGAAATGTTCAGACTCTCAACTGGCATCTTGCCAATGTTTTCCAGCGTGATGGTCCCTTTCATGCTATTTACAAAACGAAAAGAACGATTGCACTGTTAGTGGAGAATAGATAAGAATGTAGAGGAAATGGACCGTTACTAAACTCATATTTAAAACGAGTCCTACGAGTGAGGCCGGTAAAAATTGTTCACCAGATCAACGACACTACTCTTAAGCACACTGAAATACGATTCGCGACTAGATTACACATTACCGTTTACTTTCACTGTGTGGTAACGATCGTACAAATAAGATCTGACCCACTCGAGCGCACTATCCACAAAGCCAAAGCGATGTGAAAGACGATGTACAAGACTTAAGTAATCGACAGTGCTGAACGCTACTGAAAGATCTTATTAAAGCAATATCATACAGAGTTGGTGTCAATCGCCTGGAGTGTATCATTCTGAACTTTTGATCAATGCCGTCTCCGTAACTTAAATGAAATCTATCATTGCGCATATAAACAACATCACAGTGTTATCCTTAACGTGACAGATATCTGAGGTTGCTGCAGCCTTCTCCACGCATTTGTTTATAAAAGTTGGGCTAGAGATGGGGCGAACGCTACTGAACACTTTAATGCAAAAGGAGCTCTTTAAATTCAGTTTATGTACCCACCTTTGTCCAGCATACAAAGTAACCGCAGTGACAAGAGGCGCAGATTGGGCGGTGTCGGGATCAGGCGGCTGACAACGGACCTTGGGCAGAGTTGTGGACACCTGAATAAGGGGCATTGAGGGACACACATCCACGATCACAGGAAAATCGTCTTTATTCTCCAAATTTTCTTTTGTCAACTTGCAGGTGCTTTCAACACCGAATACTGTCACTGAGTAACCTAAGAAAGACCGGAGTGTTCAGGTTATAAATTATTCTTTGATTTTAAAACACGCTGGAGAAAATATGCAAATAGAGGCACGAAAGGTAGTAGGTTGGAGGCATTACGTTGATGTAGAACCAAATTATTGGGAAAAATGAAAAACAAAGAAATGTTTCAAGATCAGGCGAGAGAATTAGCGTATAGATTCCATTTAGAAGCAGGATAGATAACCAAACACAAAGTGAAGTGTTTCTATTCAACAAAAGTGTTCCAGCTGAGTTGTAATAAGAGGGGCTGAATACAGAGAGGAAGTGATAGTAGAGACTAAAGAGCTTTTAGTGCCAAACCAGCTTCATGCTGGAAAACAGTACGGTATTGGGAGACCATTAGAATAAGAGATCACCGTTGAAAAAGTCACTTACTTTTGAAACTAAGACGCAATAATGCTCTCGGTGCGTTTAAGTCAATAAGCAAATCGGAACTGCGTGATGGCAAAAAAACATTTTTCCATTTCAGTGGTACTATATATAGCGCTCCATCATCAACCCTTCCCCCCTGGTAGCACTTGCCTTTCTCCCTTACCTCCCCTCCCCATCACACTTACCAGTAATTTTCGTCGACATAGGGCGGTATTCCAGGCAATATAATCGCGCGAGGATCCCTCCCTATCTAGTCATACTTACCCCCTCCCCCTCCCCCTCCGTCCTTCCTTCCTGGTTACACTTACCAGTAACTCTCATTGGTCCTGCAGAGGATGGTATCCCGAGCAACATTACTGCGTGAGGGCCTGCCTTCGGAGGAAGAGACAAACACGTTGGGTACGGCTCGAATTCTACCCCTTCCACACAAAGAACCTGCAAGGGAAGGCGATTAAAAAAAAGACGGTTTGTGTTGGCAAGTCACAAAGCTCGTTAATCAATTCATATACCAATTCATCCATCACTTTTTTTTTTAACCCCAATTTTCAGTAATGTTGGAATCTGATTGGCCAATTTTCCGTTGTCGATAGAGTTGAAACAAAGCTGCTCGCGTCAACGTGTCACGCAACGTATCATGCATTGAAAGAATCGCTACGCCTCGTGAGTCCAAAACATTTTGACCACTGTGACGACGAATATGGTTGTCGATAAGAGTACAGAGCATGCTTAGCAACTGGCAATTTGTTAAATTTATCAACTTCTTAAAAAAGAATACAAATTGAAGATGGGACAAAAACCATTTAAAGGGTTCTTTTTTCCAAAAAATTTTAGACAAAATCAGCAAGTTCATTGGGCAGGAACGTAAAATTAACCTTTTCACTCAAAAGATTTAAATATCAATTCTCCATACTGTGTGTCATACATATTTGACAAAATAAAGTCCGTTAAATTTAGCGTTAACTTCCCTTAGTGACCATGAAAGAATTTCTCCTTATCAACACAATATTATGCAGACAAGTGATGCGAGTAAAGAAAAATGTCAGTGGAGGATTATTATTTGATCCACCAACAAATTATCAAAAACTAATACCATAAGAACTGCATGGCAGACATAAAGGAGAATTTCTTAGAAGTGTTGGGAGCCTTGGAGTGAAAGGGTTTTAACAAATACGCTGGGCCATTACATCACAGTTCTGTTTTACCATTTGGGAGACTCTCAGTTCACATGGCATTGGATTGTAGACATCCAGCGAGACTTGACCGATGTCCCCGCAAACCCAAGTTGTATCTGTAGAAAATAAACGCCCAAGATAGCATAGTAATAAGAATTAAAAAGATATAACAATAACAAAGATATAACAATAACAATAACGACAACAACAATGTTAATAACAGTAATAATAATTAATATAATAATACAGTAACAAGTAATAACAATAATGAAAATAAAAACAAGAGTAACAACCATAACGATGACGATTACGGCAACGATAGCGATAACGAAGAAGAAAATAACGATAACGAAGACAACGTAAGTAATTGTTGAAAACGACGACGAAGACGACGACTACGATAATAAAGATAATGATGACGTAGACGATGACGATGGCGATAAACATAACGACGATGACCACGATAAAGATGGCTAACAATGACGATAAAGATAACGATGAGGATAACGACAACGACGACGATGACGGTAACGATGACGATAACGATGACAATGACGATGACGATAACGATAACGATAACGATAACGATAACGATAACGATAACGATAACAATAACAACAACAATAACAACCACAACCACATAAAGTCTCACTAATGGATTTCTTTGATTGCTTGACTTTTCCTCTGAGTGATGAGAATATAAACGGCCCCGCTGATTCCGGGCCGGAAGCTGCAGCTGAATTATTCCCAACAGGCTTCATGTGTGGAGCTAGTGGATTAACTTTAAACGATCTGAAGCAGAGGAATGAAATATTTGAGAGGAAGAATTCAATGAGCATCGCAATGACGCGGAACTTTTTTTCTTTTCCTTTGAGGAACAAAGTAATCCTCCCTGCTTCTCCTGCTGTGGATAAAAGATTAGTATGTGGCCATTCTAATGAACGTTACTACACACTGCATTCATGTTATACAAAACTCTTACTAACTTTGTTCGAGGTCCGTACTGTGAGACACATGTACAGGCCGAGTGTTTTTCTGCCCGGCTTCATAGCCCAAATGGAAAGCGCGCGGGCCATAAATCCGAGAGTAAAAAACGAGACTTTGTAGATTAAAGTACGGACCAAGAAAACGAGGTCAATACGATATTCAGTACTCTTTCTGGGTTCAAAGCAGGGGGAAGTAATCAATGGGCCATTTTACAGTTGCGTGCTTAGTTGCCAAGCCTTTGAGTTGGAGTGAGCCTAAAAGGTGACCTTGTTGTGATAGAGACCTGTATCTAATTAGCATGATAACAAAGTGATTTACATTTGAAAAGCAGCAATGTTTGTATCATAACAAGGTCACCCATAGCCTCACTCCTGTTCAAAAGCATTGGCATCCAAGCACGCAAGTATAAAATGGACTATTCAAACAAACTTTTGAATTCAGCGGACCGTATAGCAAACCTGCCGACTAAATTGACCAATCACGTACTAACGGAGAGATATATCAAAGTTCCTAAAAAGATGTTTATCTTTCGCTTACCTAACAAGAGGCATTTTAGTCAGTGGTACCAAAGCCATGTCTAAGGCATCAATTCTCTGCCCGTCCGTTTCCTTAGGCGACTTGGGTGATCTGGGCGAACCGGTGCACTGTTTAGCTGAACTCTCTAACAATACACATAACTCTTTCCTCTCATCATCACTCAAATGGGCATACATTGTGTGCAACAAAAATGTAATATGTCTGAAAAAAAAAAAAAAAAAAAAAAAAAAAAAAAAGATAAGGACTTTAATGAAGTCATCGTCAGCACCTTTCCACACAGGCAGCTTCAGCCCATGACATGACACAAACTTGAACACGTGACTCTTGCTCTCACGTGGTGTTCTGTCACAAAGACGTTTATTTCAAGCATCATCGCTCGTAAGCTTACGTGAGCGAAGAGGCATCGGCGCGAAAAACAGCACCGGATCAACCGTTTCCCTGACAACGACAACCGCTGTCTATCGCCTTCACCCTTTTTCCCTTATCCTCCCTAACGGATAGATAAAGAGGGTAAGTTTCTAAAGAAACTGTAGTGTTGCGTCCGTGGGGCAGTATAACAAAGTAATTTGGTTTTATCAACTAAGTTGATAAGACAAATCGGCCATCGGAAATAGTTTAAAAGTCGACGTTTCGAGCGTTACATGTAGCTCTCCGTCAGAGCGAAACGGCGCCAGACTTGTGGTTGTTTGTTCCCGACTGTTAGTCTGGGACGAGTTCCGTTCGCACTCTTTGACGCACAGAAAACAAGCATACTTACCTAAAAGCAAGAGCAGGATCTCCTAAGCGGCGAGCAGTAAAAATAAGCTCATTAAGAAGCCTGGTTTGAAGTGCTGGCCAACCATTTGTAACACCTTTGTTTAAAAAAAAAAACAGAAAACAGCTAAGAATAACCGGACAATATGCAGGATTTTACTACAACAGCATGTACAACACCAACATGTACAGGCGTACGTAGCATAACAATCTATATGCAAAGATCCTGATATGAAACAATACAAACAAGAGTTTTTATCATATACCAGTTTCAATATGAATGTCGTAAGTGTTATGGGATTGCTTTGGTTTTGCTGAACCTTGCTCTGTGCTTGGTCCAGAAAACGTGCGCGATTCCTCAACCAATCAAATTCAAAAGTTAAAACAATGGAAACTTGCTCATTCGGACTCTGGAATTTACAAGGAAATGTGTAGCAGCTAGAGAGGAGAATTCACAATCAGTTCTTGGGAGTTCAAAGTTTAAAGGATTAGAAAAAAGGAAACTTGGAATTTCTGTTTTCCAGGAATGCCTTCAGGAGTGTCTTTGTGCCAATTTTTTTTTAAGTACACCATTTTCAAAAACTGAAAGAATTTCATCTTTCGCTCAAAAAAAAAAAACAGGTGAAGAGCACTACACTACACACTGCTCATGCAACTTTCAGAACTGGAAAACAAACCTGTGGCAACGTCTTTTTCATTGAGAGAAATTCTGTACCCATCAAGTGCACCCATGAGAAATTTGTAAGACTGTACAAGAGAGAAAGAAAAATCTTTCAAAACCCGTAAAGAGATTTCACTTCAAATACACGACGTTCCAACTAGAGCAATTAAAAGGGATTTTTATAAACTGTTATATAAATCAGCCTTCTGACCTTGTCAGCGTGTGCAAAAATAACTGGATTTTCACTCTTCAGCAAGGCCAACAAGGCTTAATCGCATGCACATAAAAGAAATATATTTATATTTTTACGAGTTGTGCCGTATTTTGCTGAGCCCGTCGAGCGAGTCAAAATACAAACAACGAGTAAAAATACTAAGAGATACTGCACAACAAAACGTTTAATATGAGATTTATTATCCAACACGCCAAATTGTTCAGTGCGGGCGAATTTCGCGGACGTCTCGTGCGTTATTTGTACTCTACGAAGCACATTTGGATAATAATAAGAGTTCTCCCCACCATTGATGAAAAAGGAAAAAGTACACAAATTATAGTAACATCATAAAAGCAATCAACAGTACATTCCATCAGTGAACCAACATAGATGCAGATGTGGCAATCCACCAGGAAAATTAGGAGAACGCCAAAAAATTTTCTTTGACCCTCGACACCCCAACATCAGTATGCATATTCTCCATAATGTTCTCTAAATATTCCCAATAGTTCTGCACATTTTCCATGAAGTCACCTTCATGGTATAATCTTAGGAGTTCTCGTGACAACCTCCTCCTTAGTTATCCTAAAAAGTTGTCTAAACTAAGTATTGGTGATCGCTCCTTCACGTATGCTGCGCCGAAACTTTGGAACGCGCTTCCTCTGGAAATTAGGTCTGAAAACACTGTTGCTGGCTTCAAGTCTAAACTTAAGACACATTTATTTCGTGCTGCATTTTCATAGCCTGCCTAATATCAATTACTTTATTTCATATGTTAATTATTCAAAATATTGTGATCCTAACCTATTTATTATTGTTCTCTTAGTTTTAACTATTTAAATAGTGATATGTTGTAATGCGCATTTGAGCATATCCACATGGAATTTGCGCACTATAAATGCTGTATTATTATTACTATTATTATTATTATTATTATTCTGATTGGGAGAATTTGTCTA